GGATTAGGTACACTTGAGGGTAAGAATTTACGTGCACTAAACTATTTCTACTGTCTTGAAGCCCGTAGTCAGTTTTACAAAAGGAACCTGTGAAAGGTTTCCAAAATAAGCAACCGTAAAATATAACTCCTACATCAAATTCCTGAAACTGCTCGAAAAACCTAATATTACATAAGTAGGTAGAATTACTGGTGTCACGTCGTATTTGCTTATGTTTTTCTTGTTGTATTATAAGAATTCAAACTAAGCTTCCGTGCGTGATATTTCATTACATAATGAATTAATAGCGTATGTATATTTGATATATTAGGAGAGACATATTTCTAAGGAAGAAACTGAACATGCACTTTGAGTCATTAGTTTGATACGTTTAGCTTCCTTTTAAGCTAAAAAGCAGTATGTCAAATCTCTTCGTTTACTGGCATGTGTTGTTGTTGCACAAGCTTTAATCTTAATAATGTATGTAAGCTGAAATCGATTATCGAGTTGATAGGTGCTTCAATGGCTCGTAAAACTGTTTGGGGCCAGCAGGCGTAGCTCAATGGTTAAAGTGCCCGGTCTGTGAATATAAGGATTCACGATTCGCGACCTGTTGCGGCAAAATCGCATATTGCACTTTGATTTCGTGGATACTTTATAAAAATGATGGTCGAATCCCACTATTCGATCAGAAAAAAAAAAGAGTAGATCAGGAGTTACTGGTGGGTGCTGCCATCTGTCTAGTCTATCGGTTCAAAATTAGAAACGGCTAAGCGCAAATAGCTCTTGTGTATAGTTTTGCGCGAAATTCTGAAACAAACAGTAAAACTGGTGGGTTCAGTACAACTGTATAATGCCATTGTCCAATCACGATACCTGAAGGATTAGACTCTGATCGAAACCCGGATCTAAACTCGTAATTTTAGCTTCTTCAACTAGTAGGCATGTACTATAGTTTTTACTTCTCAGCATTGTGTCAGGGTATATCAATGGACTTTATCAGGATGTGTCGAAGGACTCTGTCAGTATATGTCAATGGACTTTGACAGTGTTCTTTCCCTCCTGTTCTTTCATTCCCAAACAAGTCAACCGACCGCCTTAAACTCTTTTTTACCATCGCGTATTTTACATGTTGTTGGTGTTTCACTCATGACTGAATTGTTTAACACAGTTACAACACGAACCATCTTGATTACAGATTAACACTTGTCTTATTTTTAGATTATTTCCAGGCTAGATTTGTCCTTTTTTCTCTGTTTGATTCCTTGAAGTACGTTGTAAATAATTACACTGCCGTGACTCATATTGTTATATTATTTTCCTGCTTCGCCCCCTGGTCTGCACAATGTTTATCATGCATCTTTTTTTGGGCATGGCTTGGCAAGATGAATTCAAGCTGCAATCTAAGTAATTTAAAATAGTTTATGTTAGCAAATAACAATCATCTGATTTTAAGTAAAAAATATAATTTGTTTCACAAAAATAGGCACTTCTAAGCTATCTTGTGTTTAGTGGGAAAACATTATTCACGTCGCCTTCCAGGAGTGAATAACTCTATCTATAAGTATTAGTCGAAAAAAAAAAACACATAACAATTCTGAATTGCGTGATTATAGGCGTTTTAAAATAAGTTCGGTGAGAGACGAACAAACAAAAGGATCAAACACTTAACTTCTCGCTCACACCTGAAGTTCAGCGGTAAGCTCAGGAGTTTATACCCTAATATTGTGGGTTTGACCTTTGCGGTGGGTACAGCGCAGATAGCACAAAGGGCATCTTTACGCTTAGCAAAAAACTTAACTTCTGGCGGATTCTAGGCAATGCAGATGATAAAATCCTGAAAGCGATTGCTATAGCATGTTTCCATATGACGTAATCCACTTTTGAACATTTATGCTTTTAAAACATTAAATCTACTAAATACAACTGCTTCGCACTGAGGTGACACATACTAGTTTATATGTTTATAGATCAAAGTAACGTAACGGTAAAAATATTATATTTTTTATAAATACCAATGAAACGTCACAAATTTATACACTTTTTTACGCGATTACAAAACAGTTGCTCGATTATGTATAGCTGTGAATCAACTGTAGGTTCTAATGTTTTTGCTAAGTATTAGTTATTATAGCGTTGATCCAGTACGGAATTTTTAAAATTTGAAGAACTCATTAACTCGTCACAAGATGATAATTTCCTCCAAACACTTTGTTGCTTAGTTTTGTGCATAAAATGTTAATTACTAAGTTGAATTATGAAATTTTTTATAGTCTTTACTTTCTTACTTTTGTAGCTTTAGACAAAATGAGATTTCATCAAATATATAACCGCCATCAGATGGAGTTAGTCCAACCGGATGTTGCTTTTGACGTAGCATCTTTAATGCTATATGGTACTCAAGCAATTCCTATACGTTTGAAAATTCCACTCGATAGATTATTTAGTGTTCTGCAACACAACGAAGTTCTGCACGTGCTCAGTGGATTTGGTTGGACATATGAAGATTATGCACGTGGTTACATTCTCCAAGTAAGTTTTGATTTTGCCTCTTATTACTTTGAGTTTATTCGTTTAAAGGGGGGGGGGGGAAGACTTTATCCTTACACTGGTTTTGAAAATATTTTCTATTCTGTTCCCAGAAGACTTTACTTTTACTAGTGGAAAACCTCGTGAAAACAGACTTAAGCTTAACCCGTGTTAACCATTTACCTCAAAATATACCAGTGAACAATTGCACCTACTGTTGGTGAGCAATGGGGTGTAATATGTCGAAATGTCACTATAAAATGGGGTATTTATTGTGTGTCGAAACATCAGTAAACAATGGTGTATAGCTTTTGAAAACGTCACTATACAATCTACAATCAGAGTACAGTATTGGAAGATCGCTATAAAATGTATTTTGTGTATCAAAACATCAGTAAACAATGGTGTATAGCTTTTCAAAACGTCACTGTACGATCGGGGTATGTATTTCGAGACATCACCATGAATGCATATAGTTTGTTAAACCATCAGTAAAGAATGGAACATCTTTTGTTGAAACGTCATTCATTATAATGCAGGGCAAGTATGTCAAAACATCACTGTAGAATTGGGTATAGTATGTCAAAACGTCACTAACGGACGGGATACAGTCTTAAGAGGTTTTTCTACTGAGACTGATGGAGTTCGGTCGTTAAAAGATTATGTTTAAATAGAGATAATTACACTTTTGGTGTATATACGTGACTTTATGGTGTTTGTGTAATATGCATTTTTAAGTTTAAAAAACATTCTTTGAATGAAGAACTTTTATCCAACTATATTTTAAGGTTATTGTTTATTATTCATGCTAATTATCCAACTATATTTTAAGGTTATTGTTTATTATTCATGCTAATTATCCAACTATATTTTAAGGTTATTGTTTATCATTCATGCTAATTATCCAACTATATTTTAAGGTTATTGTTCATCATTTATGCTAATTATCCAACTATATTTGAAGGTTATTGTTTATTATTCATACTAATTATCCAACTATATTTTAAGGTTATTGTTCATCATTCATGCTAATTATCCAACTATATTTTAAGGTTATTGTTCATCATTCATGCTAATTATCCAAATATATTTTAAG